ACTGTCATTTGGAAAGGAAGTATTTAAAAAATATGTATCAGAAGTCTTCTCTGTGTTTGCTTCCAATGATTGATTGCTTTATCCCTAGAAAAATGACTGCTTGTTTGAAACTGTTGGATTCTCTGTAGCAGAAATAAGATACGAAGCAACCCATGGGAGACTGAACAACGTTCTTTCTCTGTGTAAGTATTTTTTGTGTTGCACATTATTGCGTCCTTGGTGGTAGTGTGATTGGTTGTAGGCGAAGAGATTAATATATGAGGTTTAAAGTTACATGGGAAACTTAAGCAAAGCTTTTATTATGTGAGCTCCCCTACGATGAGATGTCAGAGTGTTTGAAACTCCCAATTCTGGACAATGTATGATGGTTAAATTCTTTTTTTAGTGTTGAATCTGGCCATAAGTTGTACATATAAGATGTTTACAAATCACAGGTTTGCTGATTGTGATAGAATTATGATCCTCTTGTACTTAGAGGGCTTAAGGAAACAATTTGCTTTGCACAATGACTGTTAAGTTGTTGGTGCAGGGTTTTGTTTTTGTTTGCAGCATCAGTTATAACAGGATGCTAGTCTTGACAATATGGCTCTGAAGTACTACGGAATCGTTAGTGAAAGAACCAACTTTAAAGAACTGGTTGGTACTGACATTAGCCTGAGGGTGCTCTGCTGCTCTGTTGGTCATGGAAGTTATATGTATAAATTTGATGGGCTAATTAGGTGGTGGAGGTGTAACAGCATGAATTAATGACGACTTAAGAGTTTTTTCCCAAGACTGTTCTGATGCTTAGTGCTTGCAAATGTTAATATATGTCATTGGATGCATGGGATGGGATGACTTGCTTAATTAAGTAGGAATATAAGTTTCTCTTCAAAATTTAAAACAAATACAGGTTTTACTTGCCTAGTATACTGAGACAGTAATAAAACACCTACATTTGGACTAAATTTAATACAGAAAGATCTCCTTTTTTTCTTTTAAACAAGTTATATGTCCAAGGTTCAGTGGAAAGCTTAATTTGCTGCAGTTGTCATTAACTATACACCATGACCCTGGAAAGCTGTTGTGTTGAAAATGAGAAAATAAGTAGTTACTAATCAGTGATTTAATTTTTTTATTGGAGATTTACCAATAGTGAATCTTAAGATTCACTTTACCTTCAGGCATTATTTTGTTTATTTTTATTTTTTAAAAAAAATTAACCATGAAAAATGAAGTACCTAAAATAACTTTGAGATTTTTTTTAAAAAGATAAGTATTTATTAGGAGCAATGAAATTTCTTCTGGTGCCTATGTGAAAAAGTAGACCCACCCCTGCACACTCATTTTGGTTAACTGAAATAGTCAAGTTTTAATGTGTTATAAGGGACAAATATGTGTATACCTAGTATATAGTAAATGGGTATGATATCAAAAGTGTGATACAGGCACATATAGTAGGCTACTTTCTGTCTTACTGTCATGAAATTAGTCTCGTATAGTGTATTATTTAGGTGTTGTCCGTGTGTTGAATTCAAATCTTGTAGTGGTATTTCTGTTTACAAAGACTAGGGTTAATAATTCATGGAGACATACAAAATTTCTTTTGAACTTGAGCTTTAAAGGAAGGTACTCCCGTAAATAGTTTACCAAGCTGAAATGAATGCTAGTAAATCTAATTAGCACCTATGTAATGATAAGGCACAGATATTAAACAGCTGATATTTTTTTTTTTTTTGACTTGGCTCCTTTTGCAGTATTACAGAGAGGGGAAAAATAGATGCAGTATGGAAAATAGTTCAAGATTGTCTCATCAGCGTAGCTGGGGGAGGCGAAGGTTAGTTATTAATGCTGGTTGCTATCTAGGTGTATTGATTCAGCTTCTCATGCCTTATAATGTATAGATTTCTGCTACTGACAAGATGAAAACTACGAAGCATCAGCTGAGGAATCTGGGTGCATAAGGCAGTGTACATGAGAGCCGCTTTTTCCCTTTATCATGCCGTTCCATTCCACTTCATTGTCAGCCCCTTGATTTTCTCAGACTTGTTTGTTGCTAAGGAAACCAGGTTGCCGATTGTCAGCAGCAGTTGAGCATACTAAGATGCTTTTCTGCTCGTCTTTTTGTGAGCAAAAAGTTTAATATACCACTGGCAGGAGGATTTGTATTGAGGATTTCTTGAAACCAACTTTACCTGAGAATTCAAAACTAAAATAAACGCTTCCACATTTAAAAACTTTTAATTTTCTAAATGCCTGGAGTAGACTAAGAAGTGGTTTTAACATGTTACTCCTGCCTTTTATTTCCCAGGTTCCTGTAGAGCTGGTGTTTTTATTTCACTTCTCTTCTACCATGTACCATATTGCAGCCCTTGCTTTAAGGGCCCAGTGCATTCAGGTTTTTACAGGGGTTAATTCTGTTGTGATAGTGAAGTCAGATGATAATAACTTCATGCAACACTTAAATGCATCTACTACTGTTTTGTTTTTTTTTTACTTTGCTGGACTATGGTGCTGGAATGAGGAAGGTGGTAGAAAGGTTTGGAATATCTAGCCAAGAAATGATGTAAAGATAAGGATATAGGGCATAATTGTAAATGGCATCTCAGGGACATCTAATTATAAGTAATTTTACAGTTTCCTTTGTGTTCAACCAATATCTTTTGTATCAACGTTTAGAATGGTGTATTTTTTCTCTTTTTTTTTTTTTTTTTCTCCCTAATGTTTAACTTAATTCGGTGGATAGCACTTTAGATGGAACTACTTTTTCTTTCTTGTCAGGCAGTTTGCACTGGCAGAAGCAAACACCTAAGAAAGTGTAATTGGTTTGGGGTTTTTTTGTGTGGTTTGTTTTTTCTTGTTTTGGGTTTTTGTTTTTTTTTAATTAAAAGCATAGAAGGCAGAATTGCAGGTGTTCAGTCTGAAACAATTAGCAAACCATTTGCCTTTGGATCTCTTTTTGTTCCAGTGCTAATATCTCAAGTTTTCTTGACTAGGATTGTTTGGGTTTTGTTTTGCTTTTTGGAACATTATATTTTCTTTGGTCTAGCACATTTTTACAGATTAGATGCTTACTCCTGTTACTAATTCATATAAAAGACTAATATATTAACTATTGACATTCAAGGCAATGATGAGGGAAAAAAATCTCTCTTTTGGAATACTTGATCCGTTTTGAAATGGAGCAGATCTAGAGCTCATAAAACCAGGACTGGGTATTTTAAGTTTTGATTTACAAATGTTTGTCAGCATTTAGTAAACTAACAAAATAGTTCTTCTAATGACACCATATTTACATGACCTCCTGACTTGGTGCAGTTCAGGGATTTTTTTACAATGGCTATTTAGAAACATTTCTTTCATTCACAGTGTCTTCAGCAAGCACACCTCCTGTTGATATTCGTCAGTTTAGAAACAGCCTCGTTTGGGGTTTTAAAAGGTAAGGTTGCTATATGAATACCTCTTTTTTCTTTTTTTTTTCTTTTCCCCTCTGTAGCAAAGGTCCCTCACTTTTTTGTCTTGTTGAGCACAAGTCTGTGCAGTCTTCCCCCCGCCTCCCACTTTCATGTTTGAAAATTTCTAAGTAGGGTTCCAGGTGTAGTGGATCTGAGGGCTATCTTCATTCCTCTCTGCTCTCCCTGGTTTCCTTGCCTGTGCTACGTATAAGCCTATGTTTGAGGTGTGATATATATCTATATCTGTATTTCTCTCTATATCTATCTATCTATATATCTGATTTAAAAGAACTTCACTGGTTTTGTTTGGTCTGTGGGGTTTGACAGTATATAAACTTCTCAGAATAGTAAACGTTTGGGGTTTTACCTTTATTCACTTTTTTTGTTAATGAACTGCTATGCTAATGTAATATTTCCCTAAAGATTATCACTATTAACCATTAAAGTAAATGGGTGCTTAATGAAGATGAAATACCAGGCCAGGCATATTCTACCACACCTGACAGCTTTCTGTGCCCTCTGGGTTAATATGACTCCCAGATGCTCACATTTAACACCTGGTATTGTGCCACATTGCCATGTCTTTGTATTCACAGCCATGTGGTCTTGTTTTGCCAGGACCTTCCTTGCTAACTTGCAGAGTTGTCTTAAGCTTATGCAAGTATATGTGAATTAACAAGCATTTCTATCATTCACTGTTTGCCCCAGTCAAACATTTAGGACTGTGAATGAGGCCTTGGGGTTTTCTAGCAGAACACCTATGCCACTGGGTACCAGAGTGGTCACTGCATAATATTACTCGGGACCACAGTAATTTTCTAAAATTTTGTAATGGCTATGAGATATAATTATATTTAAGTTGGATGTTGGTGAAACACACCAGGTGAATATGACCAAAATAGTTTTCTATTAAATTGCAATTCTGTCTAGCTGATCCTTCTTTACCATGGGAAAAGGAGGAGAAAAAGCAAACCAGTGTTCAAATTGGGTTTGTTAACTAGGCCCTAGCTGACCTTGAAATCCAAGGGATAACTGAAATAATGTTTTAGATTCAATAGGGGTATTTTACTATTCCTTTTAATAGTCAGCCCCAGAATCATCCTTTTCAGATGTATTATAGTAACAGATTTTTGAAACAGATTTTCTCTTTATAAGTGTACATAAATATTCAGTTAAAGTAGACTTGCACTAGAAAGCAAGCCATGCTAATGTTTACCACACAGGACCAACACTAGCATGAAATACCCCTACCACTGGAGGGTTGTGCAGTGTTCAGAATGTGATTTAAAGTATCTTTAAAACGTTGTCAACTTGTATTGTGAAAACTAGCTGCTGAAGGATCATACTGTCCTCGAGTGAAACAGTTACTCTCCTCAGTGGTGGAAGTTCCTACTGTTGTGATTCCAATTGTTATCGGACATTCGGGCTAAAACCTCCGAATTCTGAGGGGGATTAAGGTTGAGGGGGGTTGTGGTTTGGTTGGTTGGGGTTTTTTTTCCAAATTACTGTTTCCCTCTTTCCTTGCCGCTTGTAAGTGTGGCATAGGGGTTTTTTTTTTATTTCTTTAATATTAATCTCTTTTGTTTGCCTTAATTGCTACCTGGCTTCAGAAGCTATGTACAAGGTTTGCTGTACCCAAATTTCACCCTTGCATTGTTTCTGAAAGCATGCCCATTCATGTTTGCTTTTCCGTTTTAAACTTAACGGCTAGAACAGCCTGAAAATGAAGCTTGAGGGTATGATAGGGTAGAAGAAAAGAGTATTTGTACCTTTTGTGAAGACTGCAGCAAAATTCTATGACTAAATGGAGGTCTCAGATGTTCAAATGAGCGGAATTTAGGACTGGCGTACAAAAGTACAGGGTGTGGACTCCAGGGACACATGAACAATGTCTGTGGCAGACGAGTTTATGGACTTCGGTGGAAGCTGCTCTTCTCTAGTAACTGCTTCGAAGTATTCCCATTCTATCTGCCTGATGTACCATTACTATTTCAGAGTCAAGTACTTTAGGAAATTGATGCATTTGATATCTGCAGTGCATTGTCGTGCTGTCAATGGTGGAGCGAGTTCACCCAGGAAAGCTTAACTAACCTCACAGATAGCATTTCCCCCGCCCCATGTGGACCTGCATTCGACTCGTTTTCAAATACAAGTGGCAGTTGCACAAAAAGAATGTTTCATAGGCTTGAACCCCTAAATAAAATCCTAAACTTCTATGAATGCTTTCAAGTTTCTATGCAGCTGTTCAGACTGGCATCTTATTTTCCCCTTATGAGAATTATAGGAAGATAAAATAAGGTCACGAGTTTTTGTTCTCTTAGCCTTGTCTAGGTTAATGCTTCTTTATAATTGTCGAAAAGTTATGGCCTCTAGCACAAATTTTGATGTTCTAAATTACAGGAATATGTCATTTTTTTTACACTTCAGTGAACTGGTTACCATTTTAATATGTTGGGGGTTTTTATACTTTAGTTAACTGGCTATCATTTGCTCTTTAGTTGTAACCTGAGGATGTACAGAGGAGTGCTCTCCATCAAGTGCTGTCCTGTTCTATGAGGGGAGAAATTAGAGTTCCTCTATGTTTTGTTTTCTGTTTGTTTTTTTTTTTTTAAATATAATTTATCTGACTATAATAAAAATTGTACCTTAAGAGATTTGATTATTTTCTTTTTTGCATGGTATAAATGCATTTATAGCTGCCTGTAGTTACCTGTTGATACTAAAAATCTAATTTTAATGCACAGGAGTCTAGATCTTTTCTTTAGCAAATTCTACATACCAAGTGTTTGCTATGTAAAGTGCGAGTTGTTTGAGTGAAGTTTATTTTCTTGAAAGTCTAAATAGAACGAAAATAAAAAAGTACTATTAGGACATGTTAGGAGATTGAACCAAAAATAAAACTAGAGTATGTTCTTCATAGTCTTAGTTATCTGTTTGTATTGCTGCATTATTTTAAGTTATTTAGCAGAAACTATAGCCATATACACGTCTAGTAAAAACTACAATACTTACTCTGTACAATGCTGGTTTAAACAATATGTGGTATTATTGTATTTTAATTTTATTTAAATAATTTAATAAAATCGTCAGTGTTAATGACCTGTGGGTTTTTTTTAAAGAAAAAAGATATATGAGTAAAATCATTTTGTTGATTTCAATTTGTTATCCTTTGCTGCCCTCTTCAGCTCAGATGATGTACATCTTTGGAGCAAGGTAAGTGGAGATAATAATGCTGTAAATAAAATCAAGTTCTTCAGGCACTGCATGTTTATGATGCATTACTGTAAATCTGAATTCTGAGCCCAGTAATTGTAGACCCGATTAATTTGAGCAAGACTTTTGCCAGTGCAGATTGTACAACTGTATGAAATTGAGTTTTCAAATTGGCAGTGAAGTGTAGTTGTGAAAAATCAAATGGGGTGTTACCGTGTAGTGCAGCTTACGCTACTGTGGTTTCTAGATCAATGTTGTTATAGCTGAAGGTAGTGCATAGCTGTAGCTTCTGGAACAAAGTCTGCCATGGTTGTGCAGTCTGACACTGTTTAATTCTCTTTCCTGCCTTCCTTGAGCTGTCTTCCTCTCCCCACACTAGTACTAATAAAATAATAAGGCACACTTAGAATTTTCAAGTTTCTGTCATATAGCTGAAGGCAAAGCCAGATAAAAGAAATCACCTGGATGAAATCAAGGGGAAATGACTGGTCATCTTGCCCTCCCTGGTTTGGGCTACATTAGAAAGACACTGCTATATAGCTTGGACAATAAATTTTGTGGAGCACTAGAATAGAGGAGATGTTGCAGGTGCTGCCTGGGATGTAGTTACAGAATTTGTGAAGCGATGCACTGTGCTTTGTCTTTTTTTAATTTGGTACTGTGCCTGCTGACTGGTAAACTAGTACATGGCTTGCAGTATAGTTTAGATTTTTGCAAAGAAATCTTGGAATGAAATGGCAATTGTAATTTGGAAAGTCACTGATTAAAGATTTCTATAAATCAGGTGCAGCTTGTGAGGTGCAGGGATTTTTGTGTTTTACTACCATTTTTTTTTGACGTGAAGATTATGGCGAGAGGATGTTTTTGTCCTCTGCCTCTGTCCGTCCTTTTTTGCATTGAAAAAACAAAAAGGGAGGGTGGGGTGAGGAAAAAAAGGGGATTTCTTACTCCTGCTGTGAAATTAATTTTGAAGGACAGTCGGAGGACTGAAGTAATGGTGGTTTGCACGTGAAGTACTTTCTAGAGTTACTTCTGCTGTTCTCCACAATGAAAGATAAATGTTGTTGTCTTCGTCAAGTTTATGAGTAAATATGTGTATTAACCTTCTAGAATAAGAAATGCCAGCTTGGGAAGTAAATAGATACCTAGCATTAGAAATAATATCACACTTTTTTTTTTCCTGTAATCCATCCTTTTTGGTATTCTGAGTTTTGATTCAGAAGAACCGTGTTACCGTGACTTTCTTGGGTTTTATTGTAGTTGTACGTTCTTCTGCGTGTTGATTTGTCATAGCAGGATGAGGGCAAAAGGGCAGAAGAAAGCTGTAGTGTACCTGTACACAGTGTCCGTGGTGTTGGTGGAATGAGAAATGACAGATAACAGTATTCCATTGCACATTAGGTATTTTCTGGCTTTGTTTTATCCATTTTCATTAGCAATTGAAAGTGAGGGTTCCTTTTCTTTTGTCATTACTTAAAACACAGCACTTGGACAGTGGGAGTGTGTTTCACTCTTAACTTCTTTAGGATTGCGTTCCAGAATGACGGCAGATAAAGCAAAATTCTTGAAATACTTAAAATCTCAGTTTTTAACTAAAGATGATGTAATTTCCTTAGAAACAGTCAAATGGATTTTTAAAGTGATGTAGTTTAGGTTAAAGTGTTTGCAGGTAGGATGAGTAAATGCTGCTTTTCCTCTGATGAAGTAAAATCTATGTATTCCTTCAGTTTGGACTAGATGATGGAATGTGTGTTAAATTTAGTCAAAGGCAATTAAATTTTATGGACGCATATTTTGTCATTCAAAATTGCACTTCTTTACAACAGCTGTACTAGTTACCTTAAATCTATCAGAGCATGATAAATTGTGTTCGTCTTTTCTTTATATATTTGTTTCTTTCAAAAAAAAAAAAAAGCTTTATGGCAAATTTCAGCCTTTTGGTAAATTGGAACATAATTGTAGTATCTCCAGGAGTCACACTGGTTAATATTTGCTTGAAGCAATGTCTTACAATAGCTAACTTTCTGTAGAATAATACATAAACAGAATATTAGAGTGTCTGTCTTACTGCCATATCTCAGAAAGCATTTCTGTGTGCAATATTTTTTTCAAGAAAAACATATTATTTACAAAAAAACTTCTTTGTATTTCTTAGGGAATTACTATGATGTGGTAAAGAACAATACTTTAACAGAGAAATGCTTTATTATTTTGAGAATTCAATTTCACATACTATTTGTCCTTGCTTGCTTCTTTTGGCTGCAATGTACGATTATTCTGTCTTACCAGATAACAGAACTGTTGTACAAGGATGAACGTTATTGCCTGACGCCTCCAGGACCAACTGGTAGAGTTTCAATTTCTATGATTGTAACTTATCCACAAATCCGTTCTTCTGTGTAATGATGGGTTTGAGGGATTACAACAGTAAACACTGATTGCTTCTTTTTGAAAGTGAAATTTGAAAACATGTTGGGTAAAACCCTGATTCGAATAATCAGGGCATATTTTGTGAGATCCGCAGGATCTTTTTTTAGAATTATAAACAAATCTTGCTGATAACAATTTATTTTTCTGAATTTATTGACCAAAACAGAGATTTAAAATGAACACAGTATCAGTGCTTAAATACTTAAAATAAAAAAAAAAAAAAAAAAAAAAAGGCAGTCGTTCAACCTAGTTTTACCTTTAGGAGCTGTTCTGATTTTGTGAAGCAAAATGGTACTTAACATGCCAAATTTTTTACTTTGAAATAAGTATACTTTTTTTTGTGTAATCTGTTTTTTAAAAAACAGGGTTGTTTTTTTTTTTTCCTCTGTGGGGCTGGAGGGACTTTCCTGTTCTCGGCTACAGGACCCTGTATATTTTTACACTTGCATAGATAAGAAACTTAGCACTATTTGCTAAAATCTGTAAATCTTGATTTTCATTGGCTAATAGGCAACTTCTTCAGTATTAGTCAGTTAAAATATTTTTAATGCTTTTATATTAATATTACAATACCTGATGTAGCTTGGTAATGGTATATAATGGGTTCCTGTTCTCGGCTACAGGACCCTGTATATTTTTACACTTGCATAGATAAGAAACTTAGCACTATTTGCTAAAATCTGTAAATCTTGATTTTCATTGGCTAATAGGCAACTTCTTCAGTATTAGTCAGTTAAAATATTTTTAATGCTTTTATATTAATATTACAATACCTGATGTAGCTTGGTAATGGTATATAATGGGTAAAATGTACAGAATAAATATGCAAAGTGTTAAGAAATCTGTTTTTTCTTTTGAGCAATGACAAAATATTTGTGGCAACTATTTGGGGTGGCGGGCAGGAAAGGGGGGGAAGGCCTTGGGCAGTACCACTTCTGTCACACAGTAGTGGAAAAAATAGATTGAAGTAAGATTCTGTACTGAAAAGCTGTCACTAGGTCTGAAAATAATTAATATTCCTTTCACTCACCAGTTAGATATGTGCTCCCAAACCACATAATCTCTATGCCTCAGTGATCATTGTTGCCATTTCAGAGCCTCTCATCAGGGTGACATCTCACACCAAAATGATTTCTTATAAATTAATCTTGATAACATGACAGTCTCGGTAATTTTAGTGGAATGCTTTCTCTTGTTTTTTTCCACAGAAGCTGTTGGCTATTTTCTTTATCACTTGATTGACAGCATGAGTGACTCAGAGGTACAGGCCAAGGAGGAGCGTTTGAGACAATACTTCCATCAGCTGAAGAAGATGGTACCATTTCATTTTTTGCTACATAATGCCTGTCCTGCCTGACATGTATCTATTAGATTTGAAATTGCTGCTTTTAAGTACAACCAGACCACTTCTCAATGACATGCAAGAGCTGGAGACTTGAATTACGTCTGAGATAATTTCTGTTAGACAAATTTCAGTTTGGTTGTGTTTCAAAACTCATATAATTTTTTCCCCACCTCTTGGTACAGAATATAGTTATCCCTACAACCCACTGCAGCGGCATTTGCAGACTGCTGGACTCCTCTCAAGTTCCTGAATTAATTAAGGTCTGTGGTTCTATAGCAATTACTTTGAAGCTAAAAAAAATGGAGTATCTGTACTCTGTGAATGTATTCTCCTTTGCAAAACAAATATCTTTATGCAGTGATTATATGTAAGCCTTTTAACCTTTCCATGATATTTCACTGTTGAAGCTAGTTTCGTTTCATGTGCGAAAGGGATACATTTAATAAGTGCTTTTTCAAGGGGGTGTAATATTGCTGCAGAATACAGCCTTTTTAACATTGCAATTATATAAGTAACTTGAACATTTTTAAGTATCATATGCTTACTTAGAGATTGAACTTCCGTGGTGGGGATTAGTGATATCTTTGTCTTACTACATTTTAGGATGCAAGGTTACTGTCTCATAAAAAATCCCTGTCTACAGACGACATTCCAGAAGTAAGTAAATTCACATAGCTATGCTTGTTCTCACTGTAATAATGATGTTTGGATATGGGCTTTAGATGGAAGTGTAATCACTAGCTTTCTGATCGTGGTAGTATATTAACGTTATTTAAATCTACCATTTGAAGTTCAGAGGTTATTTTCCAAAGCAGGACTAAAGGCTATCGAGATTTTCACATTGATCTAATACTTGACCTTGGAGTTGGCTGAGGTTTCATGCCTCAGTTTCTCTGTCCGGTAAATATTTTTCTGAAAGTTCTAGTTAGTTAACAGTGGTGGTGTGAGGCATAATTCATGCTTGTAAATTACAGTGATCCACTTGAGTGGCAGGAACCATATAAATCCATACTGCTTCTAATGGTGGAGTGTCAAGTCTTTACATCTCTGATCTGAGCAGAGTGGAGATGGAAAAAGAAACAGGCTTCTTTTCCTTACTTCCCTGAACACAAAGAACTGAGTGCGAGAGAAATAGTAATGTTGACCTTTGTAGATATGCTACTTAATGCTTTTTTTACTGTATTCTGACTCAAATCTTCAATTAGTCTGTACTATTTAAACAGATAAAAGCACCTTAAATGATTAAAAATTTTCTTAGAGTATGAAAGAAGAGGATTATTTTGTCTGTCTTTTATTAAAGTGATCCGACAAGTTGTTCAGGGAAGGGTGTTTTTGCAATTGACATTCTTTCTGTTGCCTCCATTTAGAGTGCTAAATCTGACGTGTCTGCTTTGGAGAAGAAACTGGAAAAGCGAAAAGCTGAAAACCAGCCTATTACAGATGTCTTGAAACAACTCATACATGCTCTTTGTGAAGAAGAGGTATCTTAAGCAATGCAGAGATAATTGGAAACACATAGCTATATTTTTAAAGGGACATAAATGACTGTATTATGGAAAGACATAGTTAAGCAAAGACAAGTGCAGTGCTTCAGGTTTCATGGTTTGATGCTTATAAATCAAACATAAGTGCAAAAAGCAATTAAATCAAAAGGTTAACTAATTTCAGCAACACCTTGAATGGCATGTTTTGGGGTTGCTGAAGTTTGTTTACAATAATCTGCAAAGTGAATGATAGTAACAGCTGTGATAGGTTTATCATACATGCCAAATGTCCTTTCAAGCCATGGCTCCGGTCTCTTATATCTAGATTGTCAAGCAACTGATACATGCACTAGTCATTTGCAATTCAAATATTACTAGGTTGTTAATGCAGGGATTGAAATTCCATTTTCCTGCAGGAGGAAAGCTCTTCTGAGATAAAGGGTCTCTTGCCTTCATTCGGCAGGCGTCCAGCTGTAGTTTACATTCATTTAGCGTGTGTCTGTAATTTGTGGGGTATCACCACACTTTTATTCAGTTTCTTGTTCAGTATGATCCTGCCTACAAAGCTGGATATATAGGAACAGTAACAGTTGTGCAGATGATATAGCACAATATTCTCTGTTGCTAAGAATACAATTTAGAAAGTGATTCTCAGCTGTCTCTCTCTACAGTTTTGCATATGAAATACGACTAGAAGCAAACACCATTGTAAGTTCAAAGTGGTCAAATGTATGAATAGGAATGTATAAAAAAAATAAGCTTTCTGTGGGATCATTAAGTAGGTTCTCATTCTTTAGAAAGTAGTTTTGTGATGTGTTTGGCAGTGTACCAGCTGAAAATGGTTATGAATTCCAAATAAATAAAAACTATTTTAGAATTTGGGTTAATGATGTTTGTGGTGCCTGTCTGTATTAAAAAAAAAAAAAGTCTTATAAAAAAATGCTAGAAATATAAACATAAAGCGAGAAAATTTATTTAGAAATCTACTCTCAGGTTAATTTAAAAGGTGTTTTAGAAAAATAGTAATTTCTGCAAAATAACCATCACTTAAAATTTGCTAAAGCATTACACCACTGTGTTTTCAAATGTGATCTTATACTGCTGAAAGCACTAAAGCAGTCGTGTAAGTGCACACTGAACATATAAGAATCATAATGTCATATTGACTTTTCCTCTAGTTCACATCTTTGCTTTGTTCCTTTTTTTAGAATATGCAAAAAGCCCTTGAAGTGAAAGCCAAATACGAACCGGACATGGTTGTCGGTGGCTATGCAGCCTTAATAAATTTGTGCTGTCGACATGATAATGTAGAAGAGGCAATGAACCTGAAAGAAAAAGTGTAAGTACACCGGCACCGAAACATGTCACAGAGATTTATGCTGATACACAGACCTTGTTGAATTAAGTAGGTTGAGTATTAACCCTCTCATACATTTTTAATTAGTTTTCCCCACCAATGTATGTGCATTTGAAACAGTCACGGGTGTGGTTTTTTGAAACAAAAAAATTTGCTTTGTATAATTGAACATCAGAAGCATCTATGTTGTATTTTTGTATGGTCAGTAATTATCTTTTTTTTAATAGCCAAATTGCTATGTAGGATCTGTTGTTTTGTTGGGTTTGTTGGGTTTTTTTTGAACATACTCATCATGTAAATCAAAGTTTGGTTTAATTTAAGGGGGAAAAAAGTGCCTGTATTGTGTATTAGAAAGCACCTGGAATGTGTTGAGAATATGCTGCATCTATATTGTCTTTAGAATAGCAGTGTTTCTGAGTGACATTATTTAAAGACTGTCAACAAGCATTCTACTTTCAAATTTTATTTTCAGAGCTTTGTATCTTGGCTGTGAAAATTAGCTCCCAGCTAAAACATGCTATGCATGACTTATCCCAGAGCACATTCTTATACATAGTCTTTCTGTTTGCCCCTTCCCTTTTTCACTTGAAAGCCTCCTTTCAGTCCGATGCTGCAGTTAATATAGAACAAGTTATGTGTTACTTTGAGATTCTTTCTCGTGTGCGCTCACAAAGTGTGTGCTTTGGTTTTACAGTAGGTTGGCAGGCAGGTGCTCGTTACATCTTGCTAGTGTTTGAAGTTATGTGAAATGATTGTGCTAGGAGTATCGAGAAATTTGCCACTGCTGATAACAGTAGTGCATTGGGTTTGGCTGTACTACCGCTCTCTCACAATCCCCTGAGTGAGCTTGCATGAATATCATGGAGTCTTCTAGTGGAGCTTCGCTGCGGCAGCACATTTTTACGGATCTGCCTCAAGGGTAGCGTAATATTGCAAAGAAGTGACTCTTTTGAATTGTTAGAAAAAGAAACAACAGAGAAGGAATTAATGTTAAAACTTCCAGAAAAAAAAGACAAATACAGAAACTTCAGAATAATAGCTTTTAACTTGTTACTATAGGCAAATAGTTTCATATGCTATGTCGAAAAGAATGTAGCGCTGCCCAGGCCATGTGGACTAAGTTTTCTTCCCAGGCTTCTGGGAAAACCCCTGTTTTATGCAGTAACTACCAAATCACTAATTAAACCATTTGTGTCTTTAAAATATAGCTTCTGGGTTTTGGGAGTGGGAAAGTGTGCGGATAGTATTTTTGAATCACATTTTAATGGAACATCTTTTCAAGTCTTACCAGATTTCTTTCCTTTGATACTTATTACAACTTTTAGCTGTCAGTGCTGTTGTTTTGTTATGTAATTTTAAAAATAAATCTTTAAGTTGAGTCCATGAAATGTGAACTTCTGTTGATACAATTCTTAATGTTTTAATTTCTAGCTTCCCTAAGAATTCACCTGTTGCTCTTGACACTGGAAAGTACGTAGCACTGGTAGAAGTCTTAGGAAAGCATGGTAGACTAGAAGGTAATTCATTTGCTTTCATTGTGTGTTTCTGCTATATAATAAAGGTATCTTGCCTCAAGAATAAAAATGTGAGTTGATATTAATGGTATATCATGTCCTGAAAAGTGCTTGAACATTTTGCATACAAATTTGCATGTGAATTCAACCAGAGATGCTTGGACAGTGCAGGCCATTAGTTTTAATGGATTGGCAAGCTTGTCATTTACATTTGCACAGCTCAGTGCTTTTTGCATTTCTGCAGCTAGTTTTTATTAGCATTGCTGTTTGGATTGAGTTTGAAGATCATGACTTATGGCACAAATTGCGTATGTGCCTAGACTAATGGCTTTGTTTTTGCTTAAGAAGGTCTGAAGGCTGAACATAAAACCTATAAACATAACCTTCTCATAAGAGCCAAGTACTGCAAAAAATCATTTAACTTTTTATAAAGTATGTATTTTTCTGTTAATATTCTTTTATGTGTGTATTACTGAATTTTAGAGTTGATCTGTCAAGCTGCCTGGAAATTTTGGCTTTTAATGAGTGTTCTGCAGAATGCCTATTTTGTATTTCTAGATGTTTGCATTAAGCTGTTAGCTCATAATTTCTATAATTCAGTCTAATATAATTCTGTAATTTACATAATTTGGTTGATCTTTAAAAGAACTCTAGATGGTCATCAACTTTAAAAGGCGATTGTGAATATCGGGTCCCATGATTTTGTAGGAGACTTAACACCATAAAAGCATGGTCCGAGCCTAGACACAGAATGTTACAGTTTTATATAAAACACTATACAATAAAAGAAAAAAGCTAATGTGGGGTTTTTTGTAAGATCTTTCTTTGAATTTTTACTTTGCTTCTTATTAAGCTTACTGTTAGAAAAATAATAAACAAAGCTAATGTTTTCCAAATCATAATAAATCAGATCATGACCACCTCTGCATTAAAGCAGTTTGAAAAGATTAGCCTGCTTTTAAGAGCATAAACATCCCTCAGAAAATAAAACAATTCATAAATGTAGCCAAATGTAAAGTGGTCAAAACATTCCGTCTATGCAATAATTAAGAACATTATAAAAATGCATTTATTCCATATACCAAAATGTTTGTTTCTGCCTTACTAATGAAGCTTAATGAACCTAATGTTTTAACATGCAGTCTGTTAGAAAGCTTTCATTGGCTCTCCTTGGCTAATTAGTATCGACACAGCAAACAGGCCCTATCGGTATCAGACCATTAGTCTGGCTGTATATACAGTGTAAACATATCTTTATTATCTGGCCTCGTGACAAGCCATCTGCTGAAGAAACAATGGAGTGATTTAGCAGATGTTAGCATTGAACGATAAAAGCATCCATTTAGTAGAATCTTGCAGCTATAGGGCAGACTGTACAGGGTTATGTGGTGCAGAGTGGGCACACAGTTCCTATCTATAATTTGTAGTCAAAGTTGCAGCAAAATGATAAAACCAGGCTATTGTGGATTTATAATTGTAGTCTCGTTTAGAAATGCAAGTAGTAATTAACTTGAAATCGGCATTATACGCCAGAATTTACATTCCTG